AAGAATTAGAACCAGAAATCCGATTTAGCGTCTAAAACGTATTATCTTCCATAAGGAAATACATCATTTACTGTTTTGAAAACCTTCATATATTAGTGTTTAGTGTGAATCTAGAGAGGCACTAATTCCGTTGTTCTTCCTCCAAATCGCGAATAAAAATTATAATATTTATTGTTGGTTGCCTATTGTGTACTTTAATAGGCGGTCAATTAAATGCAATCAAGCGATGGCACATCTTGCAACAAGTCTGGCTTTCCTTCTAACTTATTACATAATATATTCTTTTCAATATTATCACAACTTTATTTAATCCATTTAGCATCAATATTTTTCCTTCGTTAAAGTGACCGCGTTCGAATCCGTGATTTTGAAAAAGCGTCTAAGAGGATAATTTTTAAATATATTTAGTGTCCGTTGAATTAGAATATACATACAAAGAATTACGAATATTATAAATAATTAAACTTATTTAGATGCATTTTTTAAGCAAAAAATGAAGAAATGACTTATTTTCAAAACATTCTCCTTTTATGAAAAATGTCTCTGATAATGATATTTTACCAATATCATTATATCATAGGACTTTTGTACGAGGCTGAACTAGATTTTTTGAAATATATAATTTAGAAGTGGATTTATCCATATTTTAATATAACAGTAGACAAATAATAACAGTTTAATATAACAGTAACAAAAAGCACCCGTTATTATTTCAACTGATCGTAAGTTTGAATATAATGTGAATTTATAAAAACTCCTAGTTCAACCCTGATATAGAACTCTTAGTTTATATATAGGCAAATTTTTGCTATTATGAAAACATTTTTCATAAAAGGAGAATGTTTTGAAAATATGTCATTCTTTTTTCATTTTTTGTCAAAAGATTGCATTAACTTTTTTTTTCTTTTCAATGATATTCTTATTACAATTAAACAATTAACATTACAAGTAATGTACAAAAAAAAACAAAAAAAAATTTTACTTTAGTTAATTTTATTAAATAGTTACAATTAGTACAAATATGTACAGTAAGACCCCGCTTAACGCGGGGGATACGTTCCATCAAAGTAGAGCGTAATGCGAAACAGCGCTAAACGAGGCTATCTTAACATGTAAATAATGGGGTTAGGGGAAGATGGATAGAAAATTGATTAGGTATTAAATTGAATAATGTTTTTTTAATAAAAATAAAATCAGCATTTATTTCTTACAAAAATAAAAAAAACAAATAAAATTCTAAGTCAGTCGGATCATTCAGTCTGTTCTGTGTTTCCAATTTTTTGTCTTTTTGTCAAGAAGGCATCTTGTTTAAGTTGTCAAATTCAATGCAGCACTAATTTGAGATGGACGTTCACCAGAATCTAATCTTCTAATCACTTGCATTTTAGTTTCCAGTGGAACACTTTTTCTGGTTGCTTTCTTTTATTGTTTTTCATTATCACCCATGATAAAAACTAAAGATCATAATATTTGTCACTGTATTAATCGTTATAGTATTATATAAATTTATACTTACAATAATGTCAACAAATGTTTCAAATGATAAAAGTGCGTCCGTACAGCACCGTACCAAACAAGAAACACAACTACACTGTTTCGGATATGATATGTACATATTCTGAAACCTACAATTTCGGGGAATCCCCGGGTTGAAATAAAAGAGCGCTAAACGAAACAGAGTTAAGTGGGGTCTTACTGTATATACATATGACAGAATCATACTATTAAGTGACAAAATAGAAAGTGATTTTCCTTGCAATTTTCCTTTTTTCTACATAGCAGGGATGGCGAATTAGTGTCACGCGTGTCATTAATGGCACGCGACACACTATTTTGGGCACGCCTCCGATCAAAACGATTTGCATCTTAATTCAAAATAACAAAGTTCAGTATGAAGTATTAAGAAAAACGTGTGTGATCGGTCGCAGTTTTCAGCCAGATTTTCTCAGTTCAAAGAGTTATCGGAAATGCTCAAGTTTTTTATGTACCTTGATGTGACTTAATTTAATAAACTGAATTCGTCCTAATTCTATTGGTTGTGAATTGAAAAATTTGAAATGAAACTCTGTGTGATTGATTTCCAGTCCAGTCTAGTTCAATATGGATTCAAAAATCTGTTTAAAAAAAGGAAAAAGTTGGAATTGATTAAAATAGAAAGATTAACAAGCAATCTAAATAAAAATGCTAGTAATGAAATTTTGGAAACATGGAATTCAATTCCAGATACATTTAGATGTTTGAAGAAGCTGGCTCATGCTACTTTAACCATATTTTCATCTACCTATGCCTGCGCGCGCGCGAGTCATTATTTTCAGAGATGAATTACACTGAAGGATTCACTTAGAAACCGTTTGGAAGATGACTCAAATTCAGCTTGCATTGCGGTAAAAGTAACATCTTACAATCCTAATACACAAGTTATTTGTCATCTAATCTACCACAACATAATTCACACTAATGTTATTTTTATTTGAATTATACACGTATAAATAAAACATTTACTACTATACAGTACAAAATGTGTTTTATGTTGATGTAAATCTAAGAGTTTTGGGTTGTTAGTATTTAGTTTTATTATTTTCTCAATAATCACAAGTCAAAATTATTTGATGACACGTCTATACTTCCGGAAACATTTCTTCAAGAAAAAAGGGCACGTTGATCTAAAAAGGTTCGCCATCCCTGCTATATAGGGTGGTGGACTGTTTTTTTCGCGTGTGTGTTTGTTGCTCTTTATTCATCAATTAAATTTAATTTAATTATTGTTATAAAATAGTATAGTAATAAAGAAATTATACATTCTTAGAAATTAGGCCATCCAAGGTAGGATTCGAGCCTACGACTTTTGGATTAGAAGTCCAATGTGCCATCCATTGCGCTACAGGGACACAGCGAAAGGGTTTCCTTCCTATATATGCTGTTGGACTATTATTTTTGCTTGTTACTATTTATTCATTAAAAAGAATTCTTTTGAAAAAACTATATTAACATCTAGTTTCATCCGCTACAAGTCTAAAAAAAATGTACAATTGAACCTGCTTTTGTGCGGTTGATAGAAACCGCAAAAAAATAACCGCACAAAAAAAAAAATGTTCGAAAATTTCATGAATTCTTACATATAACAAGCCATTTCGTCGAAATACTGCAGAAATTTTTTTTATGCGGTCGCACAAAAATAAAATCGCATAAAAAAAGGATCGCACAAAAATAAAATCGCATAAAAAAAGGATCGCACAAAAACAGGTTCGACTGTATTTGACATTGAATGGATGAATAGAAAATATTTTATTAACGATTGAAAATTTGAACAAGATATATAAGTAAATATACATAGGGAGAGAGTAAACTAAAATAGTAGGAATTGCGAAAAAAATTCTACATTTTTACTCGTTTTCAAAATCACGGTTCCATACCTAGTCAGTCACCTTAAGTGGTTATACTGTGAGTAAAAATTTGCATGGAATATTGCCACATTGATTATTTATAAAATTCAAAAGAAATGCATTTCGGGTAATGGATTATTAAAGCAGAAAGAAAGGTTATCGACAAAACCAACTATCGATAAGCCAGCTACACGGCAGTGTTTCTTGGTTCTTTCTCGCCTGACTCATTTTTATTCTGGGAATGTGTATTTTATAACCGATCTCGGCTGGGATGCCGAAGCTAATCCTGCGTTGTACGGAATCATGAGTTATTGGGGAGGCAAGGCTGCAACATCCTTTCCGCTCAATTAGGTCGTTAAAACTGGCCGCCTGATAAGAGAGCCTTGGCGGAACATTTTGCGCAGAGCCAACTGTTATGACTAACGCTTCGTGAAGAAATTTCACAGGCCTCTCTGTTCCTTTCCTGCTATTATATATTTTTTTTCTGAGTTAGTCCTAAAGTCTAATTTAATAAAAGCTCAATTTCTTTTTCCTTTGTGGATGGATTGAAGAAGCTCTTATGAAGATTGTAGTTGAATATCAAGATCTTTTGCTAGTATTGGGAGATAACAAAGCAGATGCGTGTATATTGTCCGAGTCCCTTTTACCATAACAAGTAATAATATATATATATATATATATAAATTAAGTCTATTCCTACTTAGGTCAACAAAGAAAAATCTTATTTTTGGTACTTTTTATTAAATAATTACAATCAATATAAATATGTATATACGTAACACAGAATCACACTATTAAGGTATCCGACTACGTTCGGAACCGTGATTTTAAAATGCGTATAAATGGATAATTTTCATGATATTTGATGTCACTTAGATTAGAATACATGTATAAAATTGTTTTAAGGACATTTTGACAAAAAAAAATTGTTTAAATACAATATTTCGGCTAAAAATCAACTTAGAATAATCTTTTTTCAAAGTGTTCCCCTTTTGTGAAAAATGCTTCTATTATAATAATATTTCGCCTGTATATAGCTCAGACCTGTGTACAGAGGCTTAACTATGATTTTTGAAACATTCACATTATTTTCAGAGTTACAACCATTTGAAATAATGATCGGCATTTGTTTTTTTAAAATTTCTCCCCTCTGTTGTCGTAAAACAGGGATAAACCCACTTCTAAGTTATATATCTCAAAAATTCTAGTTGAGCCTCTGTATAGAGGTCTGAGCTATAGACAGTCAAAATATTATTGTAATAGAAGCATTTTTCACATAAAAGGAGAATATTTTGAAAATGGGTCAATTCTATGTTCATTTTTTGTCAAAATATGGTACTTAAATAATTTTTTATTGTAATAATATTCTTAAAACTTTATATATATTTTCTAATCTAAGTGACACTAAATAGACATAAATAGAATCCATTTATACGCTTTTGCAAAATCACGATTTCGAACGTAGTCGGATACCTTAAGTGGCAGAATAGAAAGCGATTTTCCTTTCTGTATATGGCGTTGAACTATTTTTATTCGTTACTATTTATTCATTTATTAAATTTAATTATTCCAATAAAATAGTATAGTAAAAAAGAATCCCATTCTCAGAAATTAGGCCATCCCTGGTGGGATTCAAATCCACGACCTATGGATTAGAAGTCCAACAGGCCATCCATTGCGCTACAGGGACACAACGAGCGATTTTTCTTTTTATGGTGTTGGACTATTTATTTGTTTGCTACTATTTATTCATTAATAAAACTCAATGAATTAACATTTGAAAAAACTGTATTATAACATCAAGTGTCATCCACTACAAGTTAAAAAAAAGTATTCGAGCTCGAATGGACGAATAAAAAGTATCTTATTGACTGTTGAAAATGTGAACAAGATATATAATAATATAGAAAGGGAGAGTGTGAACTGATAGTAGAAATTGAAAAATTTGTTGGAGGCACGGGCGTAGATAGTCCTATATGGGCCCTGTATAAAAATTCCTTCGGAGGCCCTTTTTGGAAATGCGAGTTTTGTTAATGGGACTATTGATAATAATTTACATTTTTTTTACTTATACATAATGAGTCTTTGCAGCTTGGGGAACCCCGTATCATTGATACGGCTAATACGACGGTAGCTACGCCTCTGGTTGGTGGAATAAATTAGCTTTTGTTTTAGATTTCATTGAAGTTGTCTTTGTCTGAAGTCAAAGCAAAACCGAAACCGAACATTCGGAAAACACATTTTCAAATCGGGGGATACCTCGATTTTAGATAAAATCCTATAAGTCAGTAGGGCACACGCCATATCCCTTTTATTATATCGCATCTTTAAAATTCAGAAGTATTTCACAAGTCTATGATTTTTTTCATTCAACCCTTACAGGTCCATAAAGTTACTAAGATTAAATGTGAGTATGTAACTGTGTATTTTAGTTTGTTTAAACGTAAAAAAATATTAAAACCTTAAGAAAAATACATAATAATGTGTAGCTTTTTTTTTTTTTTTTTGGATCAATGTTTGTCTCATAATGCATTTGTACACATGCTCAAATATATATTTTATTGTTATACACAATTATACTTAACGAATAACATGACACGTGAGAAAATGCAATTTTATATTTTTACATGACACAGCAAACTAAAATAATAAGAATACAACTCTCAAATTTTTATCAATGGCGCCAATTGATTTGTTAGTATTCATTCTTTTTTCCTAAACGTTCCTGTCTGAGTAATCGCGTTCTATTTTGACATTCTATACAAAAATGCAGATAAGATTATAAGTACTATAATCACCAAATTTTGAAATGAGGAGAAACTGTTTCCTTTAGTCGTGGAAAAAAAAAAGTTTAATACATAAAATGCGCGGAAATCTTACTTAACATTATAGTATAGGAGATAAAATAAGATACATTTTACGCGTTTGATGAAAAATGGATTTAAAGAGACAAAAATTAGTGAATAGTCAAATAAGCTGTTTTGCATAAAATAAATTAATAACAAAATTTTTTGATCAATGTCGTAGCGTCTTTCTGTCTGAAAAAAATGTGCGGAATCTTATTCTTCATCTTAACGGTAAGACAGTCTTTTACCTTCCTAAAGGTACTCGCGATAGATAATTCACAAATTTTTTTTATTACGATGGGAAGAAAAACGCGGTATTTTAAATGATATTTGTCCTTCTAGTTTCACATACGTCCACTCGCGGACTGACACCAAATTAGAACAACCATTTTTCACTTAAGTAATTTGGTGTGGTGTTGTGTGGTAGTTAGGAGAATGGGGTGCCAGCTCAGGTGTTGTCCACGTCCCTTGACCATGGTTCAAAATTACGTGGTCCTTCGCCAAAAGCCCTCGTGTAGCTAAACAGTGCGACGTTAATATTCAATCAATCAATTCACTTAAGCAGTATGTGGTTAGAAAAGGAGTCTCAAATATGAAATTACCTATTTGTGTTGGGAAATGACTTTACTATTTTATTAACCAAATGTGAAGGAATATCTATTTTATTATTATTTTTTTTTTAAAAAAATGTGGTAATTTGTGTGGCATTGTCCCTTTTTGTCCAACCATATGATAGTTGAAAATCATTATCATAGGCAAAAACTGAATGCATTTAGGTATGTGACTTACCTTCGGAGCACTTTTTGAAATATATAAAATTTCAATTAAATAAACATTTTTATTTGAAATGGGACATAAAAGTAAGAATTCCAATACAGTTTTTACAAAGTTAAAATTAATTTTTGGAAATATTAGAATTTTGAGTGAAATTTTAATGAAAAATTGCAGTTGCGGTAAGGATTGTATTGAAAATTCTGTTAATATATTCTTATAATGTTTTATACCACAGTACATAAATGTCATTTATTATCTTTCTGTTTTATAGCTATATGGTACGTACTTTCTAAAGTGTTTGAAATATGTCAATTTTTACGCGAAAACTCAATTTTTACAAAACACTAATGTTATTTTCTCACAAAAGGGTGCGATAAAATAAATAAATATATACGGAAGAGATTGAATTATAGACTAGATAACAGATAAAACTAAATAAAACTTGTTTTCTGAAATTTCAAAGGTCCAATATCTTAAAAGAAATTCTGTAGTGTGGCCTTAAAGTGAAAAAAATTGAAAAACATAGTTTCTCCGAAAATGCATTTAAATTTTAATACAATATGAAAAATTTTCTACTACTAATTGTACTTTTTAAACTCTCCCATATTATTTATAGCTCAAAGCTCTTTTTTAGCTTCGTAGCGAAACTGGTTTGGCCATTTATTTTACCTTTTGTTGTTTTCACAGGTTTGTGAACTACAACAATTGTCGTTTTTAGCAAAATTTTGGTGAAAAATTGCAGTTACGATAATCACTTGTACACAAAATTCTAATAAATATATTCAAATAATATTTATACACAGTACATAAATATACTTTATCTGTGATAGGAATCAAAAATTTGTATGCTTTTCGAAGTTTTTTAAATATATGCCAAATTTTATGCAAAACTCAATTTTTTTAAAAAAATTAATGCTTTTTCATAAAAAGCAATTAAGATACACCAAATATATACACAGGGTAGATTTTGATTCATAACACAGATAGAACTACATAAAAACATGTTCTGGTAGATTTAGTATGTAAAAAGTATTTTGGCATCATAGAAAATATTAGATGTGGTTTCATAGTAAAACACATTTGGCAATTTTAACTCTAAATAATTACTTTTCTGCTTACCAAAACATTTTCAAAAGGCTTCCCCATATTTATAGCCACCCAAGCCCTCTTTAGCTTCAGTTTTAACTAATTGGACTTTTTGGCTTTTTGTACTTTCACAATTGGTTTTGTTACGATGAAATGACACAGCGTTTTCGATTTTGAATTCTCTCTGTGTCAATTCCATGAAATTTTTAAGTGTCATTGGATCAATTTCTAAGCTAAATAATTAAAATACAGGCAACAGCCCTAAATAATAAATTATATAAGATGACAGCAATGTATGAACCTTAAAAAACAAAGTTTTTTTAGGCAAAAATTTTAACTTTCAAGCAAAACAGACCACAATACATTATTAAAGCTTTCATTATTGTTTTGAGTCATACCATGAAGGCATTTTTTAGCAACTCCTTTTCACAGAGTTAGCTAAATAAGTAGGCTTTATCACTTTAATCACTGGTTTGAAGACCTGCTGTTTTGATACTACATACTCATTTCACCATCACATAATGCTTGTTTCATATATGAACCAGCTGTCTTTCCCTATTGGACATTGCCCATGCGTGATTTTTGATTGTACTAGAGCAGCAGTGAAAGAGGCAAGCTATTACAAACGAATTGCATTTTTTCGAGGCATCCAACATTTGCTTCCGGATCAGCAATCCATAATAGTTCACCACAGTTTATCAATAAATTTATCCAGTTCAGTACCATACCACCAAAGTCGCACGGTATTCTTTTTTAGTTTCCTTAAGCATTGACCTCTTTTTTGTATATGTCACACTGTACATTCAAGTTTTGTGACACTGTTTTCATCATATCTTTCACTTTGTAAAAACCCACTTTGAATCCTGTCACCGCCAGTACTCGGTGTATTACGGGTCTCGTTTGATTAGTGACCTTTCAAAAAGTCTGAGCTCCAACAGCTTCCATGTTTCAAGAGGATCACTTGTAATTTGAGCATTTAAATTGCGGGTTTCGCATTCAAATTTCACACATTTGCAATACTGTGTCATTACTTTTAGATAAAAATTTTCCAGTATCAATGGAAATAACTGAAACAGCCATTAAGTGACATATGACTCTCCCACGCTGCCATGTGCCATCTACCGAAACACCTAAAGCTGTACTTTTTAAAATTTCGCACTTCTTTAGATGCAGCTTTCATATTTTCTTCCGAACATAACTGTACTGCTTCCAGCAGTTTGAGTTCATGAGCTCTATGAAGGTATTTTTAGAAATGCATGGCAAATTCGAGGGTCACATAAAAACTTCCACCACCAGCTGTGAAACTTCTGCCAATCAATCTCATTCCAAATACCAATAAAGAGTATTGAGAGAGGGAATTTTTTATTTTTCTTTAGGGTAGAAGTAAAACCAATCATGTATCCACAACTGCAAGCCACACAGAAGTTAGAGCAAAGTCCTTCCTAGAATCTTCTGACAGTTTCAATCCAGTTGCATAATATTCCGGACAACACACAAATTGATAATTCCCCATCAAAAAGCTTGGAAATTAATAATTATATTCCCTGTAGAACCATGAAATTCAGGTTCAGGCACATCAAAACTGCTCAATTTTGCCTCACTTGCAGACGTATTGTTATTACTGTTTTATTGTGCTAACTTGGTAAAGCATATTACCATAAAACTTTCTCTTTCTGGACACTTTCGATCAAGCTTTCGGCATTTTAAATTAATCACAATCAAAGAGTAAAACGTTAAGGTAAATGAAAATAATGAATAAACAGCCAAAAATATTAAAAAGTAAGTATTAATAATTAAAGAAAGAACGCTTTAAATTAACAATGTAAACAAACTATAAACGATAGTATTGTGCCACTCAATTAAAACAACAAGCTTCAATTAAAAACAGTTGCTTGAATTAAAGTATTATTAATAAATAAATAAAGGATACGTTGATCTATATTTACAATAAATATTATTAAATATTTATATTGCTTAAAAGTCA